TTCCATAGTGCTCCTGCCCTAGGGTGAAAATTCATCTTGGGATATTTTGGTTTTGTGCCCTCCTCCAGACTCGAACTCTGCACCCTGAACATGGTGGAGTTCATGGCAAGTTTGGTACCATTCCACCAAATCTTTGTACGGGGTATTAGCCGAACATCAGAAATTCAAATCAAGCAGGAAAAGTGTATTCGGACACGAGCGGAGGGACCAGAAAGGATTCAAACGCGAACTGTGACCGAACAGACAAAGACATAACGTCTGAACAAAGTCAATCATTGAATAGGATGATCCGTACGATATGCATTAAATGCGAGAGGATCCGGTAATCGCAGATCCGACGGTGCAAATATAAACAGAGACACGCGTCGCACCGGGTTCATCGTTTATATTGAGATTAGATTGTGTAGTACTAAGCATTAAATGTGGTGTGACTAAATATCTAAATGATATCTCATAAAGGAAAACGAAAAACAAAAGTCCCAAAGAGGGTTGTAATAAGACATCATATTTCCTATGAAAGGGAGACGATGCAACATTAAATGCAATGAGAATATTCTCTCATAAATGATATAAAGAAAAGTCACGAATAGAACATACATTCGTTCCAGATTCGTAGCATAACTCTATTCGTGCATACCGAACCGAGTGTATATTCTAGTACACAGTTTGAAATATTTTTTATTACAATTTCATACATCAACATCGTGCAATCAGATTAATAGCACGACTTTCTATATAAATAGAGTGGTATCAATACTAATAATTATTTTATTGATAATTATCTCAATAAAAAATTGATTCTTCATATTAATACGATTTAGTACTGCAGTTTCTTATTTTTTTTGGTAACCGACAATACAACTTGTCTTAAGAAAATGTCTATTAAATATATTTCATCTTTATATCATTTGAATATGCAAGATAAGATTGAAAATATAATTACAAAATAAAATATAAAATCAATATGAAAATTTATTATGGTATTTTATCATAGTGTTACAATTGAATCTTATTTATCAACATTTATAACAATTTATGGTGATTTCATATTCATTTTGTAACCAACCATATAATTTTTATCGTATATTCAAAAAATTATTTTCAAGTTTAGAATCATTTGATATATTTATCAATAACTCAATTGTTCCTGTTTTTAAAAAATTATAAACCTATTTTTTCAAAAAATAAAAAAAAATAATTATTTATCTTTAATACAAAAACAATCTTTATTCTTAATAACAAAATCATGTGTTCTTCTATTTTTATTGGGTATCCAACCATATATAGATCGAAATATGCGTCAGAACATTGTAAAATATAAGTACAAAATAAATTTATAAATAAATTGCGAAAATACCACAATACTATATTAGAATTTATAATTCAACATTAATAACAAATCCATACAATTTTTTATTTATTTGTAATGAGGCATATACCAAAAATTATCTATTCATGAGTTCAAAAATATCATTTTATTTTATCAATAACTGCACTAAAACAATTTTTTAAAAATTCATATTGTGATTCACATTATCATAATAAATCTCATATAAATTAATAAATTAAAAATAAATATATATAATACTATAAATTATAAGAAAAAATAAAATAAAATTGATGTAATTAAAATGGATTTTGCTACTTTGTCACCCTCCATTAAAATATGGTTTACAACCATGTGTAATTGAGGCATTAAAAAATGCAATAATGCACATTTTTCAATGCCTCTATTACACATGGTTGTAAACCATGTTGTAATGGAGGGTGGTTATGTAGCATCACCCATTAAATTAATTTTTTTTTTTAACTTCAAATAATATACATTACAATATTTTTCAATCAAGTGTTGGTTATTATATTTGCCACATTTTTTAAACTTCAGCCTAACGTATTGAGAAATCAAAATAATATATTATATTGTAAGAAGGTACGTGTAAGAGAAGATATAGATAGAGATAATTATTCTGGGAGTGTTATTTATTGAAAATATTTAAATATATTAAAATTTTATTATCCTTCATAATAAACATGATCTAAAATGAGAACCATTTTATAGCGAGTGAAATAAATACAATAAGTCACATACTAATCACTATATATCATACCATAAAACAAAAACAAAAAGATTATTAATATTCATAACTATTTTTATACTAATCAATTAATACATAATTAATACATCATCTATAACTATGGCCTCTTGCATCACAACGTGGGGATGACATGTTACTTATTTTCTATTAAAAAAAAAAAGTTATGATCGTTATAGTAAAGGGAAATTCTACTGTCTACGGAACTATTTTGTCGGGATTTATAACCATTAGATCATCACGTAACTGTCAGAGATAGTTGATCTAACAGTTACAATCCCGATACAATGGTTCCATAACGGGACTAACAATCTTTTTATATTAGTCTGTCTAACTTTGAATCCAATCAAGAGATCCAAATCTCGCAGTCAAGATCTCGACACACGGTAAATCAGCTCACACTCCCTGTAAATCAGCTCACACATCTGTCATGGTCCACCAAAATACTAATCTTATCCAAAAATACAGCAAATTGCTAAGAAAATATCGCCCAGATTAACTAAGTGAGTTAGCTAAAAGTCAGCAATCAACCTACATTTTTTAGACCAATCATCTCAATAATGATATAAAATTTTGGTTGTCTTATTTGTGAACAAATGTTCAAAGACTAACGGACACCTAAAAGCTGGTCAAACATTGAAAAAACTTGTTGTTTTGTGACCTTTTTTCTTCTGTTGACTGTTGAAACAGAAGAAAAAAATTGAGTGAAAGAAAGAAATATTGGTTGGTGTGCTTGGATACTGTTGACGGAATGTTTCCGTCAGTGTTAGTTAGCGTAGATTATCTACACAACATAATCTACATATGTATCTAAGAGTGAAAAACGCTGGCTGAACCATCCCGTATCAGGGTCTTTAACATTTTTCTATATTTTATATCATGTCATGACTATTGAAGGCCTAGTTTGTCGTGATTAGTTGACTTAAAATTGATTAAACTTGTAAATTAACACACTAGTAAGTTCGATCAAAAATTCTATGGAGTCATCGGATGACTCATTTATGGAGCCATCCATAATTTTATGTGCTCACACATGTTTAATGTGCATTTATTGCAAAACTCGTGTCAATATATCATTTTTGAATGACAATGGATGATTCCATAAATCGAGTCATCCGATGACTCCATAGCAAAACCGTATGTTTGACAAGAGTTTAACATAGCAAAGTGAAAGATGAGTAATATACTAAGTTCATATTTTTTCTGTTCAATTTCCATTTAAAGCCATCCGGTGCTTTTAAGGCCGAGCCTTTTGAATACAAAATCGTCTGTATTGGTTCTATATATGTTTGGAGTTTCAACATATTCCTTGTCACTTGTTAAACAACAAAGATTACATAATTTATTCAAATTCACTTCCCCACATACACCTATATAAAATTTTCACAATTAAAAACATAAAATTATATGAAACTTATAATGTGTGCCTTAATCAATCACAATTGTGTTAAATCAAACCATTATTCACTTCCTATCTTCAATCTGCTGCATCTGCATCTGTTGCTGCTGCTGTTGATGCTCATTATCCTCTCTAAACTTCTTATAAATATCCCCTCGGTAGAACTTCCTCGTCCGGACAACGAGCACACACGAGACGAGGCACCCGATCATCGTGGCCCCCGTGATTATCAGAAACGCCTTCTTGTAGCAGACGACCCCCACGCACGTCAGCTCCTCCCCGACCCCTCTCACGACCCCTCTCTCCGCCAGCTGTCTCGTCGCCTCCCAATCGTACAGCTTCCCCGTCACCCTCACGTTCAGTATGTACGCTCCCAAAGGGCTCGCCCCACCGCCCAACGTGTACAGCGTCGAGTAGTACCTCAGCCCGAAAATCTCCGATATGATCGCGAACACGAGCGGCCACTGCGCCCCGAAGCAGAACCCTGTCACCACCGACGCGAGGTACAGCGTGTTCGGGACACCAAACGCTATCAGCAGGTGTCCCGCGCACGACACGAGCAGTACCCCCGTCAGCATCACGGGCCTCGGGATCTTGTACTTCGCCAGGAAAACCTCCGACGCGAATCCCGAGGCCACCCGTCCGAGATAGTTCCATATGCTCACGAGCGAGACGAATGTTGTCACGCTCTTGCTCGGGTACCCCAACGCCTTCCCTATCTGGCCCAAGTTGTCGATCGCCGTCAACGTGCCACCGATCCCAAACGTGATCGCCGTGAACAGAATTATCATGTCGATGCTGAAAACCGCCTGCAGGATGTTGTAGTCCTCGCCGCGCTCCGGCGGCCGGAACACGTCCTTCCACCACGGAACGAGGCTAGGTTTCACATGAGTTGGGTTGGTGTTAGCATGAGTATGAGTATCGTCATGGGTCACGATATTTATCTGGTTTCGACTATGAGTAGTCGTCTCCATCGTCTCGGAGGACTTGATTTGTTCCCTCAAGACAATCGCAAGCGGAGTGAAGAGGAGAATAACGACGACGGTGGCACTAACGATGTATTCGGCTCGTGTAAAAACGACGCTGTTTTGTAGGATGATCAGAGCCATCAGAAACCCGGCGAGGCCGAGCGAAATGTAGAGTAAGTGGTAGAATACGCGGAGGTCGTTTTCCGGCCGGCTTCCGCCTGAGTTCATGAGTCGGACGGTTCGGAGAAAAACGAAGGATACGGCGGCGGGAAGCCATGCGATGAGGAGGATAAGTGCTTTCGAGTCGTGTCCGTAGAGCGCGTGAAAGATTTGCGTCATGATAGCGCCGCTAAGGCCGGTGAAGCCCTTGAGGAGGCCGATGACTACGCCACGGCTTTGGGGGAAGTTCTTGACGCAAGTGACGAGGGCGCCGGTGTTGGAAAAGGTCTGTGAGTTTGCGCCGATGCAGATGTAGACGCAGATTTGCCAGACGGGCGGTCGGTGGATTTTGCCGGCGACGGCGAGCCAGATGAGAAAGTAGCCGGAAAAGTTCATGGCCATGCCGATGGCGAGGACGACCCAAGGAGGAGTGAACTCGTTGATGACGCCGGAGGCGATGGCGATGTTGCCGCCGAGGTCTTTGAAGAAGCCGATGAGGTTGAGGGTGGTCTGGTCGTAACCGAGGGATTTTTTTATGTCGGTGGAGTATATGCCGAAGATGTAGGTCGCGCCGGACATGGACATGATGAGGAGGCAAGCGAAGACCATGAACCAACGGCCGGCGAGAGCCTGCCGGAGGAGAACCGCTCGACTGAGCTTCCCCTCAGCCATGGTGGGCTTTCTTTTCTTTCTTATTTATTTATTTATTTATTTTTTTCTCTCTTTTGGTTAGTTTGAGTTTGATGTTTGTGGTGATGAGAAGAGTAGAACGGTTTGGGGAGAATATGTAGTAGAGAGTGGTTCAATGTGAAACACCAGACATTTATGTGTGTGTGTGTGTGTGTGTGTGTTAGAAGGTCAAGATTGTGTTTGATTTCATTTATACAGGATTTCTGTTCAGAATAATTGGTGAGTGAGGCCTATACTTTGTGCTATATATATAAAATATAAATCAAGGGATTCATAATCAACCGAGCTAGCTAAGAAAAAAAGCACTTGGAAAATTCTTGCCTAGGAATTGAATAAATAAAGGATTACTCGGTCAAAATTAACATTTTTGACACTCTAGAGAGTTACTGGTTCAAGTGGTAAACAACTTGATGCGGCTTAAACAAGATCTAAGTTCGAGTTTTTACGGATGCAAAAACCCCTAGTTAGGGCATAGCTCCGGATACCGTTGCCGGCTATTTATATATATATAAAAGATAATGATATTGTTTCAATACACTTTTCAATTGAAATGTCATAATCTACTTCATAACATAAGGGAAAAATATTAGATATTATAAGTATGCATTTTTTACTACTCGTGTCTACTTGTCTAACGGTTAAACTGTCGCACAAAAAAAAAAAAAATGTGAATCAAGATAAATAAGAAGAGCTAATAGGATAAGGCCGTTTGGCCATGCTTGATTTAATGATTGATTGAGTTGGATTACTGGGTGGGCATAGACAAATGTAGGCCGAGAAGTCTCATGTGGTGACAGGTGACCACAACATTCATAAGAGTTTGGCTCACCATGTTTATCTTAAATATCTTGTAATCTATTTTTTCATGACCTTTATTATAGCATTTTAACTATAATAATTTTTAGCCATGGATGGGCAGTTGCAATAATTTCTTAAAAGATATGGGTCGGTGGAATAGAGTGCACAACATATATAAAACACAAATATAAAAGTAAACAAACCATTAATAAATTTGTCTTCGAGGAGCATCACTCTATCCATCAACAATGTTATTTCATTAGGAATTCAATTCTACAACTACTCTTTTGGCCACAACGTGTAATTGTCTAAATCCCTCCAAACTGATAATATTCAAAAGTACAAAAGTCGTAAGCTTCAGTCTTTCAAAGATGCATGATGCAAAACTAAAATCTTGAATTCACAAACTATAAAATATAATCAACAAACTCACAAACTTTTAGAGAATACAATAACTCAATATGCTCAGCAGAGAACAATAAAACTTATCTTTTATCTTTGAATTTCATGATCTAATGCATAAGGACAAAATACAAATCATAACTAATAAGCACATGACCTTAAGTTAACATGATCTCCATCATCCTTCCATTAGAGTAAGTTTTCTTCAAGTAAGATCCGTGTGTGTGACTTGGAGATCTTCATAATCGTGTTACCAAAGTCGCGAATGAACATAACTTTCAAATATAACTGATCATTCAAATATAAGAGATCTGACGGTGTATCTTTTTAAATCTTCTTTAGATCTTCTCCAAAACGTTCAGGATCCTTTATGTGCGGGAAGTTCGTCCTTTTATGGTCCTTGCTAAATATTCTTTGTACTACAAGAAAGAAAACTAATAATGATATGTGATTCAAGTCATTAATGCAAACAATATATATGGTAAGTGAATATATCTAAAATACATATTATGTAATTCTTCTTCGAAGGGTCAAGACTCTATAATATATACTATAGTGTCGTCGGTGTCATTGTTTTGTTTTGTATTTGTTATTGTGTTTTTGGTTTGGGTCGTTGGCCTCATTTCGCCCGAGTGTTAACTTATTATCCTGTTGGGATCGCACTCGGGCGTTGCCCTGTTGGGGTCGTCTTTGTGTTTTTCTGTGTTTCTAGAGTATTTACCTATTGAAGTCGGTTATAGGTGGTCTTTTGACCTGTCCTCAGTTTTTTCAGCTATTGGCTGCTTGTATTCAGCTGTTGGCTGTTTGTATTCAGCTTGTGGTTGTACTTTTGCATTTTTATGCGCATTTATATATTATCTCTACCGTTTCGAAAAAAAAAAAAAAAAAAAAAAAAAAAAAAAAAAAAAAAACTCAATCTGTAACAGTGAAACTCAATATATGCCCATTTATTAGAGGCTCCTCGTGGCATGTTTGATAAAGTTGGTATAATCCAACTAAAGTGACTTCCATTGCTAACTAAGGTCAGTTTCTTGGGGACTATCTCGCGTTGTGAAGCTCACACTCGCAACACTTATTTCATCAAAGTCTGTATCAACCCATTAATTACCGGCCCATTAATTGTTGGCCCACTACGCATGCGTAACACTATTTTTTGGACTTTTGGTGTGCACTAAAATGAATTGGCTATTTTACATGTTTACGGATTGTCTCACCAGGTTGAATTCAGTCCTACACACCTCCCAAGTTATACGATGATTAAAATGATACCTCATACACACGTCATCCTTTTTTTCTCAATTTTCTTTCGAAAAAGGGTTATGCTATATAGCCAACCTCCATTACAAAACTTGGTTTACAACCAACTGTAATGGAGGCATTAAAAAAGTATTTTTTATATTTTTTTAATGCCTCCATTACACTTGGTTGTAAACCAAGTAGTGTAATGGAGGTTGGCTAAGTAGCATAATTCTTCGAAAAAACTATAGGTGCATAATATTATACATAACGGTGTACTAAATCCTCACATTAAGTGGGGTCCACTTAATTCCTTGTAAGTGTTATGTACGCCTCTATTTACATCTATTATATACTTGTAGCATTTTCTGTTTCCTAATGTATCCCAAATGATTAAAATTTCCAATTTGAATTTTTACAGGATTTGACATCCGCTCACTCAATTATTTGATGATATTTTTATTATTATTATTATTATTATTATTATTATTATTATTATCATTTTTTTTATAATAGTTGAACGATTAAAAAAATAAATAAATAGTTGAATGATTTAATCTATATATCTATATCTATATTTATATAAAGAGGAGCAACATAATGAATAAAACTATATCACTTTCTCTTCAAAAGACGTTACAAAACTATTAATTTGATAAAATTAAGGTATGGAGAAGAAAATTAATTAAGCTAATGAAGATATAATAGTTATGAATAATATAATCAATGCAATTATGAAAAATAAAATTAAAATAAATGAAAAGGTAAAATAGTATTTTTACTTAATATTTCTTTCAAAGATTGACTAAAAACATAAAGCCGTTATCTTTTTGTATTCCTGAAGTATGAGTTCCGTACATTCAACCACAAACATAAACAAATTAAAGTATAAAAATAAAATAATTATAATTGAACTCAACCAACTATTGTTGTGCATTATTAAATTCATAAATTTATTAATATATTACTATATTCATTTTTCTATATTACATTTTTCACATGTAATACCCAAAACTCAGCTCAAATTTTATTGCCAATTTGATTATTTAACATTAAAAAAATAAATATTAATTATTAATATAACAACAGTTAAGTTAGGAATATTTTTGTCATTAGTCTACAACAATATTTTGAATATATTTTTATTCACAATCTATAGATCTATAGATATATATAAAGAAAGAACATATTTACTAAAAATAGTAACAAGAAAAGTCAACAAACATTTATTGCTAGCATTTATTGCATTCTATTTTTGATAGTTTTTTATTTTATTTTTAGTTATTTCCAAAATATCGAGCAACTATATATGGATTATAAATTTAGGGGTTTGTGGATTTGATTTAGGTAAATTTCGACTGATGCTTACAATTTCGCAAAGTCAAACTTTTTTCTCATTTTTTAATAAAAAAGTTGATCACCATAAAATCAGGAATTTCAAATTAGACAAAATACTATCGCATATACTTTTTCATAATTGCAACATATCAAGTGTTTATTAAAAAAAATCGGATTGTACAGATATCGGGTTAATATAGGTAAAATTCGGCATGAACATTTCGCAAAACTAAAAATTCTCTCATTTTTTCTTTTTTATTTTTAAAAAAAAAAACTGTTTACCATAAAATTGAGAATTTCGAATTAGACAAAATACTATAACATGTATCTTACCTAATTGCAACAGATCATGTTTATTAAAAAAAATCGGATTGCATATAAATCGGCCTAATTTCAAATTGGTAATTAAAATTTAATAATCTTATATCATTTGGCTACTACTTTCTTTAGTGCATTTTTTTTTTAACACAATACAGAGTTAGATAATATTAATTTAAAATTCAAAATGAAATCAAATTGGAACATTCTATAAATTTGGGTTTTCTTTAATCCTATAGAATACAAATTTGAATTGATTGAATACACGTACACAATTTTTTCGTTCCTTAAATTATGTAATTTACAATTTTAAAATAATAAAACTATAGATTATCAAAAAAGACGTTTTACAATCTCCGTGATACTTCGCTATGTAATCGTCATAAAACCAGTTGAATCATATCATATATATCCTGCTAAATAATTTAACTGATTTATTTAAGCCTATTTAAAATCTTTATATATATAGGTGTCAAGTGTTTATTTTTGTAAATATGGTTTACAGAGGTACGTTGTTTTCTGTTCAATAATATATAAGTTATATTTTGTTTTATTCTAATACATTGTTTTTACGTTATTTCAATCGTCCAATTATAAATGTTTACCTTAATAAAATTAGTCTGATACCGCACTAGTATTTAAAATTGCAGGTTTGACAAATAAATGCGAAGTTTTGTCCATAAATACACAATAATTCATTTTGATATTGAGATGTAAATTACTACATGTAACTTATTTTACATTTACTATTGGCTATTATATTTTATTTTATTATTGTTAACATGCATATAAAGAAAATTAAGTATATAAAGATAACATAAAAATATATATTTAAAAAAAAAAAAATCAAACGATTCACTAGGATCAGACGATTCGTCGACGGCATATCG